TCTCTTTCTGGCTTACTTCATTCTATATGATAGTCTCTAGATCCATCCACATCTCTGCAAATGGCACAATTTCATTCCTTTTTATGGCTGAGTAATATTCCATTGTATATATGTACCACATCTTCTCTATCCATTCCTCTGTTGATGGACAGTTAGGTTGCTTCCATGTCCTGGTGATTGTAAATAGTGCTACAATGAACATTGGGGTGCATATATCTTTTTGAATTATGGTTTTCTCCCAGTATATGCCCAGAAGTGGGATTGCTGGGTCATATGGTAGTTCCATTTTTTTTTTTTAACTTTTTTTAAAAATTTTATTTATTTTTGGCTGGGTTGGGTCTTTGTTGCTGTGTGTGGGCTTTCTCTAGCTGCAGCGAGTGGGGGCTATGCTTCGTTGTGGTGTGGGGGCTTCTCATTGCAGTAGCTTCTCTTGTTGTGGAGCACGGGGCTCTATGCGTGCAGGCTTCAGTAGTTGTAGCACACAGGCTCAATAGTTGTGGCACATGGGCCCTAGAGCATGTGGGCTTCAGTAGTTGTGACACATGGGCTCAGTAGTTGCAGTGCAGGCTCTAGAGTGCAGGCTCAGTAGTTGTGGTGCAGGGGCATGTGGGATCTTCCCGGACCAGGGCTTGAACCCGTGTCCCCTGCATTGGCAGGCGGATTCTTAACCACTGCACCACCAGGAAAGTCCTGGTAGTTCTATATTTAGTTTTTCAAGGAACCGCCATATTGTTCTCCATAGTGGCTGTATCAGTTTACATTCCCACCAACAGTGTAGTTTTAGTAAGGTTTGTAATAGTTTCCTCTGATGCTGTCTCCGGGCTGATAAGGGTCTAAAGTGTTATCCAGTGATTAGCTTCTGTCTTTCCTGGTAGAGATAGAAGAGGGGACACTTTTATAAATTAATGGCAAATAGAGGGAGGGCAGAGAGCTTTTGTATAGGCATACCTTATTTTATTGTGCTTCGCTTTATTGTATTTCACAGATACTGTGATTTTTACAAATTAAAGGTCTGTGGCAACCCTGCATTGAACAAGTCTATGAGCACCATTTTTCCAACAGCATTTGCTCACTTAGTGTCCCTGCGTCACATTTTGGTAATTCTCGCAACATTTCAAACTATTTCATTATTACTATATTGTTACTATATTATTGATACCTGCGATCAGTGATCTTTGATGTTACTATTGCAAAAATATTACGACTTGCTGAAGGCTCAGATGATGGTTAGCAGTTTTTGGCAATGAAGTATTTTTAAATTAAGGTATGTAATTTTTTTAGATATGTTATTAATAGCACACTTAATAGACTATAGTATAGTGCAAACATACATTTAAATGCACTGGGAAACCAAAAAAATTATGTGACTCACTTAATTTTGATGTTTGCTTTATTGTGGTGATCTGGAAGCAAACCTGCAGTGTCTCCAAGGTATGCCTGTATCTGTTTCTCTCAATTGCCTTCAGTTCAAGAAAGCTTATATACCTTTTAGACAAAGAAGCAATACATTTGTGAAGAAATTACACGACAAAAGGGGTTTGGGCTAGGGGCAGTAAATTGTAGGAAAGAGACTAGGAGATATATGGAAGATAAGGGTTTCAGTAAGTTTGTTTCTACAAATCCATTTGAATGTTGATTACCAGTGTCAGGTGACAATGATGTTCTTTTATTGCTGGTTCAGTGAGGGCACATTTCTCTTGGGAAATTTGATGGCCTGTTTTAGGTAGAAACATCTGCATCTGTTGTTTCCAGAGTACCTTTAGCTCAAAATAGTCAGTATGCCAAAGTGGCATATTTTGGGGTGGCACGTCTTGAAATCCTTCCTGCCAAAGTGGCATGTTTTGGGGGTGGCATATTCTGCTACCCTTCTGTACCTGAGTCCTTTTGACATGACCCTAGTAGTCTTTTAAAACATATATTATTTTACCTTTTATTATTGAAATTTCCAAACATATACAGTAGTAGAGAGGCAAGTCTACGGACTCCCACTACCCCAACATCCAGTTTCAATAATTATCAATATATTGCCAGTCTTGTTTCATCGATACCTACACTTCTTATCCTTGTTATCATTAGCATTCCTTTAGAGCTTTCTTGAGGCATAATTCACCCATTGGAAGTGTGCAATTCAACGATTTTAGTAAATTTATAGAGTTGTGCCACCATCACCACAGTCCAATGTTAGACATTTCCATCACCCCAAAATGTTGCCTCTCAGCTGTTTGCAGTCAATCCTTCTTCCACTCCTATATCCAGGCAACCACTGACCTGATCTATCAGTTTAGTTACTTTAGAGCTGTTGATTTTCCTGCTGCTGCCCAATAAAAGTCTTGGGATTTCTCTTAACAGTCATCCTAAGTATTCTTTTCACATTTTTCTTTTTTTGTTGAATCTCTCACTTCCTAGATCCCATATCTTCCTCTTTCTTGGTTTATACCCTCATACAGAGGAGCACCTTTTTCAACATATTCCTGAGAAAGGGTATATAGGGGAGGAAAAAGAATTTTCCTCTATCCTTCTGAGTCCTTGGCTGAGAGCCCTGTAATAAAAGAGATTAACAAGAGAAAAACAAACATGTTAATTAACATGTATACTTCAGGTATACATGGGAGATACCCAGGGAAAAAATTGAGTCACTCCACAAGTGTGGGTAATTTTTCATCTATTGTGCTATGACCTCTCAGGGAACCCTCTCAATTTTCTTGGAATTTTTTATTATTATTTATTTATTTATTTTTGGCTGTGTTGGGTCTTCGTCGCTGTGCGTGGGCTTTCTCTAGTTGCGGTGAGCAGGGGCTACTCTTCGTTGTGGTGTGTGGGCTTCTCATTGGGGTGGTTTCTCTTGTTGCGGAGCATGGGCTCTAGGCACACAGGCTTCAGTAGCTGTGGCTTGTGGGATCTAGAGCACAGGCTCAGTAGTTGTGGCACACGGGCTTAGTTGCTCTGCGGCATGTGGGATCTTCCTGGACCAGGGCTCGAACCCGTGTCCCCTGCATTGGCAGGCGGATTCCCAACCACTGTGCCACCAGGGAAGTGCCTCTTCTTGGAAATTTTAAAATATTATTTATTTGGAAATGTATTCTGTCCCATTTTCATAGTTCACTTGTTCTGAAACTTCTGCTGTTGAGTTTGAGTTCCCTGAGAAGCAAACATTCAAATACTGGACAAAAATTCAAATTGAAATACATTTTTAAAAGGTTTAAACTTCCTTTGGAGATCTACCCATGTCAGTAAAGAAATATCTACTCCCTTTTAAAACACTTTTTAGAGGTAGAATTTACAAAAGTGCACAAATCTTAAATGTACAGTTGATTTTTTTTTCTCTTTTGTATCTACCAGAGTAACCACAACCCAGGGGAAGATAACGAAACATTTCCATCTCCCTAGGAGGTTCCCTCAGGCCCTTTGCAGGCAATACCCCCCAGAAGCAACCACTAGTCTGACTTTGTCATTATTTTGGCTTGTTTATGAACTTGACGTAAATGTACTGTGAATTTTTATGTACTCTTTACTCCCCTCTTCACAGTGCCTAAAGACTATTCTATACCTTACATACTTTATTTTATTCCCATGTCAATGAAAATAATCTATAATAAGAATTGAAAAGAGTTTTATTTGAGCCAAACTAAGGACTAGCCTGGAAGCCAGCTTCCCAGATTACTCTGAGAAGCTGCTCCAGAGAAGCATGGTTTCCGGCACAGTTTTATATCTTGTCAGAACAAAGAACATTAAACAAGACAAGGTTACATTCCTTCAAGGTTTTAAAAAACAACACACACACAGATCAGCAAGTACACAGCAAGCCAGCATGGCCTTGGCACCTGTAAAGGAAGTCTTATCATCAAAGGAGTACTAGCATTAGCATCCCAGGAAGAGAGACATTTAATCTTTATATTTAACATGGACATTCTTTACTTATGGTCAGTGTGCTCTTTTAATAATTAGAGCAGATATACAATTTATGTCTGATAGGCCATAAACAGGCTATTTTAGTTAGCATAAAATTCAAGTTAACTCATGTATAAGCCAAGAATGACTTTCATATATGTCAATATGTGAAAATTTCTTTTATCACCCATCTTAACATTTATATCCAATATTTATAATAAGAAAGCTGCAAGGGACTTCCCTGGTGGCGCAGTGGTTAAGAATCCGCCTGCCAATGCAGGGGACACGGGTTCGAGCCCTGGACCGGGAAAACCCCTGGAGCAACTTAAGCCCGTGCACCACAACTACTGAGCCTGCTCTCTAGAGCCCACGAGCCACAGCTACTGAAGCCCGCGTGCCTAGAGCCCGTGCTCCGCAACGAGAGAGACCATCGTAATGAGAAGCCCGCGCACAGCAACGAAGAGTAGCCCAGCTCGCCACAACTAGAGAAAGCCCGCGCACAGCAACGAGGACCCAACGCTGTCAAAAATTAAAAAAAAAAAAAAAAGAATGCTGCCAGGGCTATGCTTGTTACACTTGGGTGTGAATTTCCACAGGCCAGAGGTCTAAAAAGGGAATTGCTGGGTCAGAAGGGGAGAATCTGCTTTTCATTCCTAGCTGATCTTTTCGCCTGTTGAGGCATTAGGAGGCAGGAGGATCCCACAGCCCTACAGGCTCCCTAGCTTCTCTCGCATGGCGGAATCTTCTGTCTCGCTATCCCACCACTCGTCGTCTCCGGACCTCCCATCACAGCGAGCTCTCGCCTCAGCTCTAAAAGCCATTTCTGCTCGGATTCCCCAGCGGGAGTTGGCCGGATAGGGACGCCCGCGTTTCCGGTGCCGAGGGGGCGGGGCCGGCGTCGCAAGCCGGCGCCGTCGCAGACCCGTGACGCCGTGCGCCGCGTGCTCCCCCCATGTGTGCTGCAGTTCTCAGGGTGTCCGTGGAGAAGCGGCGGCTGATTTCTCTGGGGGCGTAGTTGGTGGCAGCTCCGGCGCGGGGACCTCAGCGGCTCGGGGGCTCTGAGCGCGAAGCAGGGAGCGTCGGTGGCCGTCTGGGGCTGAGGGCCCGCGGTCATGGAGCACCTCTTGCTGGAGGTGGCGGCCGCGCCTCTGCGGTTAATCGCTGCTAAGAACGAGAAGAGCCGCAGCGAGCTGGGCAGGTTCTTGGTCAAGCAGGTAAGAGAAGAAGCGAGAGGGAAAGCGCCCGGCCGCCCCCGCCACCCCCTGGCGCGTGCCCCATGGCCCTGCGCGGAGACGCAGGGGACAGGAAGGCGGCGTCTTGTCACTCTGGCCCGCTCCCCAGGGCTGGGCCGTGGCGGAGGCGTCCGCGCGCGTTTGAGGAGCCAGGAAGGAGCCTTTTGTTTTTCTCGGGGGGAGAGCCTTGCCTTCCCCTCTCCACCGACTTACCCCCTTGTAGCGCCCTGACTGCGTGCGGCAGACGTGGCCTTCGGAGAGAAATGTGGGTGGTTTTTCTGTAACTGAGGTTGCGTATCTGCCCTTTTGACATGTGTATTATCTAAGTGTGCCGAGTCCAGCTACCCCTGTTAGCTTGGGTGAATGTTTTCTGTCTGCCCAGTCCCAACTTTTCGGCCCATTGACAAGCATTGATTGTGTTCCTGCTCTGCCTAGCACACAGTGTGGCACTTTGAGGAGACATAAATTCGTTAAGGTCTCTGCCCACAGGGAGTTTAGCGTCTATCTTTAGAGACCGTTCATAAACACAGAAAGCAACTGATGGACAAAGCGAGACATTGAGTGCAGAATTTCTAAGCCATGGAATTATGAATTGGTTTAGTGGGAAATGGGTGCTCTGGCCTTTTAAGAGCGATCTCTCGTTTGCCACCAGCTGTCTGAGTTTTTTCACGTGGCATTTTAACTTTGTGTTTTGTGCTTCCCCCCCCCCAATATCTGTTAGCTTCTTTTAAAAAATTAATTAATTTATTATTTATTTTTGGCTGCGTTGGGTCTTCGTTGCTGTGCGCGGGCTTTCTCTAGTTGCGGCGAGCGGGGGATATTCTAAGTTGCGGTGCGCGAGCTTCTTATTGTGGTGGCTTCTCGTTGCGGAGCACGGGCTCTAGGCACACGGGCTTCAGTAGTTGTGGCACGTGGGCTCAGTAGTTATGGCTCGCGGGCTCCAGAACGCAGGCTCAGTAGTTGTGGCGCACGGGCTTAGTTGCTCCGCGGCATGTGGGATCTTCCTGGACCAGGGCTCAAACCTGTGTCCCTTGCATTGGCAGGCAGATTCTTTACCACTGCGCCACCAGGGAAGTCCTGTTAGCTTCTTGAGAGTAGAAAAAATTTTTTTTCGAATTCCAGTATGTAGACCGTATATATCCTATTGCTTAGGAAACAACAGCAGTATTTTGTGTCTGGAGTAGCTGGGAACTAACATGAGAGGCATTTCTGTTTGGTGACAACAAATGGACGTGTATAGCAAAGGGGAGGGAGCAGTGGAAGATATGCCTGGGGTTATCTGGCTTGTGATTCCCCCAGGGAAGGGAATCACTAACATAAATGGAGAGGTCTAGGAAAGAAAACAGATTTTTGGTGGGCTGGACTAAGGAAAGAGATGATCAGTTTATATGAGCTGAGCTTGTGGTGACAGGCTCATGAATTATGTATTGTGGCTAGAAGTATTTTTCTGTAAGTGGGCTTGCATTTTAGAACAGAGGTTCTGAAGCTGGGGCTCATGGACCATGGACAACAGGGGATTTATTTATGATTCTCCACTGTAATTGGATATAAAATTGGTGCTTATGTATTGGGAGTAAAATGAGAAAAATGGTTTGTAGCCGTTTTTAAGAGAATCTGATATTTTGAAGTGTGAACCACTCAGGTAGATTCTGAGACTATATAATAATGCTAAGGAACTTAAAAGCTACTTGAAAGTTTAGTTGAATTAAGGAGATTGGGACACCTGTGCTTCCCCTTTCTTTGTCTCACGTTATCTGTCTCTCAGATTCTATCCAATCTGAGAGATGTTTTTCAGGTTTGTTCCTTTCTATTTTCAGTCATAGTTTCAAGCCTTTCGCTCAGAGAAGAGTTGATTGTGTTGTCATTCTATTTTTCTCCTATTTTGGGAAGCAAAATAATTTTTACTGGAAAGCAAAGACTTTTTTTTTTTTTTCCCTCCAAGCCGCGCAGCTTGTGGGATCTTAGTTCTCCAGCCGGGGATTGAACCCAGGCCCTCTGCAGTGAAAGCATGGAGTCCTAACCACTGCACTGCCAGGGAAGTCCCAGCAAAGTTTTTGAAACATTGCTTCTCATGGAGTTTGGGATCTGAAGTAAGAATTTTTTAGGATTGTGCTTCCTTTTTTTTTTCTTTATTTCAGTTGGTGACACCACTGTCTCTCTATCCAGTCCCTTTTCACTCCTTTTCTGTCACGTATAGCCAAGTCCTCCTGATTTTCCTTACTCAGTATTGGATCTGTTCCTTTCGCTTCCTCCCTACTATCGCTACCATCCTACAGTTCTGACTCTTAATTGCACTGTGGGGGTGTTCTTTCCACCACCACCAAGCAAGTCTCAGACACCAGTTGGTGTCCTATAGTTAACTCAATTCTGACACTGTTTATCTGCAGAAAGCATCATATTCTTCAGGGTAAAGGCTCAGCCCTAAAAGACTTCTCCCACCCGCAACATACACACCGGTTGTCACCTGTGCTTCTGATCAACGGGCTTATAGGAGGTTCCAATGACCTCTTCCTTGGGTTTGATTAATTTGCTAGAGTGGCTCACAGAACTCAGAAATGTTTTACTTACTAGGACAACCAACCCTGAAGCTCTCTGAACCATGTTCTTTTGGGTTTTTATGGAGACTTCCTTACATTGGCACAGTTGATTAAATCTCTGGCCGTTGGTGATTGAACTCTCCATCTTTAGCCCCTCTGCCCTCCTGGGAGGGCACGGAACTGAAAGTTCCAATACTCTTAATCACATGATTGGTTCTCCTGGCAACCAGCTCCCATCTTAGCGGCTTTCCACAATTCACTGCATTAACATAACAAGACACCTTTATCTCTCTCTCATCACAGGAAGTTCCAGGGGTTTTAGGAACTCGGCCAGGAACAGGGTCGAAGATCCGGTTTGTATTTCTTATAAATCACAGAGTCACATCTTACCTCTTTGATCACTGTTTATGTTGAGGAAGAGCAGAGTGCTTAAGAGCATGCGTGGGTACTGGGGCTGAAGTACGGCTGAAGATCAAATCCATTCTCTCTTTTTCTTGTTTTGTTTTGTTTTTTGGCCGCTCGGTTTGCGGGATCTTAGTTCCCTGACCAGGGATCGAACCTGCACTGCCTGCAGTGGAAGTGTGGAGTCTTAACCACTGGACCGCCAGGGAAGGCCCTCTGTTCTCTTATTTAACTGCCTTTGGGTCCTCCCACAAGTTGCTCAACTCTCCTGAGTCTCAGTTTCTTGATATGATATGTATTACATATGGTAGCCGCTAAATAGTTACAGAGAGTAGTTAAAAGCAGGGACTCTGGAGCCAGATTCTGTGACATGGATTCCTGGTTCTGCTCCTAGCTTTGTGACCTTACCCCTTTTTTATTTTTCAGTTTCCTTATCTGTAAAATGGGGATAATTTTACCTACTTATGTGTTGCTATGAGGATTAGATGCCTAGAATACAGTAAGTGTTGTCTATAAAACGGGTTGCTGTTATTATTGCTATAAATAAGATTGTTGTGAGATCTAGATAATGCATTTGAGGAGTTTACCACAGTGCCTGGCCCATAGTAGGTAATCAGTACATATGAGCTATAATTAGAATTTTTTTAAGACAGCTTTGGCATGTAATTCACATACCATATAATTCATCCATTTAAGTGTAAGTAAGTGGTTTTCGCTCTGTTCACACATATATGCAACTGTCACCACAGTCCATTTTGGAACACTTGTTACTTCAAAAAGAAGCCCCTGTTCCCTTTAGCTATTATCTCCCATCCATATACTGGTCACTTAATATAAATTATCATTAACAAGACAAATCTGAATCTATTGCCATTCTGCCTAAGAGCTCCCCACTGTCTCCAGAATCAAAATCCCAGCTTTCTAAAATGGTATATGAAATATTGCTTTTTTTTTTTATTTTTAAAGAAACTATTTTCTGTCCATCATATTTCCATTTTCTTGTTGAAAATTTTTTTTTTCTTACCCTGTCTGGTTCTCAACTGGGGGCAATTTTGCTTTCTGGAGCAAATCTAGAGATGTTTTTTGGTTGTCACAACTTGTGATGGGGGCGTGCTATAGGCATCTAGAGTGTAGAGGCCAGGGATGCTGCTGAACACCTTCTAGTGCACAGGGTAGACAACAAGGAAATTATCCAGCCCCAAATGTCAGTAGTGCAAAATTAAGAAAGAAACCCTAAATATATGTATACCTAATAACAGAATGTCAAAATGCATGAATCAAAAAGTGACAGAAAAGGAAAAAATAGAGAAACTCAAAATTATAATTGGAGACTTTTAACACTCTAGCCTTGGTCACTGATAGTACAAATACAGAAGATCAGTAAGGATATAGAAGACTTGAACACCATCAACAAACCTGACCTAACTGGCATTTATAGAATGCTGTGTCCAGTAATTGCAGAATACATACTCTACACATCTGGAACGTTCACCAAGATAGATCATAAGATGGGCCATTAAACAAGTCTCAACAAATTTAGGAGAATTGAAATCATACAAGGCATATTCAGTTACCCCAATGAGATTAAATTGGGGAAAACCCTCAAAATGATGCTGGGAAAAATCCCTAAATGTTAGAGATTAAATAAGAAAATTAAAAGAAACTGATGGCTAAAGAAGAAATCACTGGGAGAATCAGAAAATATTTTAAACTGTATGATAGCTTAAACAATTTGTGGGTTGCAGGCAGCAGCAATTAGAAGGAAATTCATAACGTTTAGAGGGAAATTTGTAACATTAAGTTCTTATATTTGGAAAAAATGGTTTGAAATTAGTGATATTTCTTAAGCTTCCACCTTAGGAAATTAGAAAAAGAAGAGCAAATTAAATGTAAAATAAATAGAAGGAAGAAAATAATAAAGATAACAGTGGAAACGAATGAAATAGAAAATGGACAAACAATATAGCAAACCAGTAAAACCAGAAGTTGATTCTTTGAAAAGATTGACCAAGAATAAAAGGGAAAAATCCAAACTATTAGGAATGAAAGAAGGCCACCATTACAGAGTTTGAAAAGAATAAAAAAATAAGTAACTAATATGAAAAATTTTATGCCAATAAATTAGACAACTTAGATGGCAGGAGCATTCATAGAATTTAAATTACCAAAGTTCAGTCAAGAAATAGACAAAACCAAGATAGGAATAGAGCAAAACTTCCTCAAGCTGATATAGAGGATCTACAAACACCATCATAGTTAATAAAGGAACAACCCGATTTAAAACCGGGTAAAAGATTTGAATAAATACGTCACAAAAGAAGATAAATGAATGGCTATTAAATACTTCATACCATATACCACTCCACCTCCACTAGAATGGCTAAAATTAAGACCGATAATACTATGTGTTGGTGAAGTTATGTAGCAACTGAAGCTCTCAGATATTGCTGGTGGGGATGTGAAATGGTGCAGATACTCTGGAAGACAACTTCTGTTAAACATTGAAAAATTTCTTAAAATTTATTTATTTGTTATATTTATTTATTTTTGGTTGCATTGGGTCTTTGTTGCTGCGCGCGGGCTTTCTCTAGTTGTGGCGAGCGGGAGCTACTCTTCCTTGTGGTGCACGGGCTTCTCATTGAGGCGGCTTCTCTTCTAGGCGTGCGGGCTTCAGTAGTTGTGGCATGCGGGCTCAGTAGTTGTGGCTCGCGAGCTCTAAAGGGCAGGCTCAGTAGTTGTGGTGCACGGGCTTAGTTGCTCCATGGCATGCGGGATATTCCCAGACAAGGGCTTGAACCTGTGTCCCCTGCGTTGGCAGGAGGATTCTTAACCACTGCGCCACCAGGGAAGCCCTAAAATTTTTTTTTAAGTTAAAAATAAAAGTTTAGGGAATTCCCTGGTGGTCCAGTGGTTAGGACTCTGTGCTTTCACTGCCGAGGGCCCGGGTTGATCACTCATTGGGTAACTAGGATCCTGCAAGCCATGCGGCGGGATGGCCAAAGTGTATTATCAAGTTGAGCATACAGTTACTGTGTGACCCAGCAATCTCACTCTTTGGTAATAAAAAGATTAAGAGTAACGAATATATGGGTGGTGGAGAAATTGGGAATTTGGGATTAACAGATACACACTACTATATATAAAATAGATAAATAACAAGGACCTACCCTATAGCACAGGGAACTATATTCAATATGTTGTAATAAACCTATAGTGGAAAAGAATCTGAAAAAGAATACATACATATGTATACATATGTATAACTGAGTCACTTTGCTGTACACTTGAAACATTGTAAATCAACTATACTTCACTAAAAAAAAAAAAAAAAATAGTAATGAAGGATTTCCCTGGTGGTCCAGTGGTTAAGCCCCCGTGCTTCCACTGGAGGGGCCTCGGGTTAGATCCCTGGTCAGGGAACTAATCCCACACGCTGTGCAGCGTGGCCAAAAACCAAAAAAAGAGAGAGAGGAATGAACATATGTCCATCAGTCTCTTGTGCATGAATGTTCATGGTAGCTTTATTGATGATAGCTGAAAACAGTGCAAATATCTATTAACATGTGAAAGGATAAACAAGTTGTGGTATGCTCATATGGTGAAACACTAGTAAGTAATAAAATGGAATAAATTATTATTAACACTACCTACAACTTTGGAACTTTGGAAAAAATTGTTGTATTTTTGAATGTGGTATTTAGGCTGTGCTCAAGCTGTACTCTTATAGATAACCATTTAGTATCAAAGTCTTTAGGCTATAAATTCATAGCCTTGGGCTTGCTGGGTCAGAGGGTATACGCCTCAGGCAATTTAAAACCACTGTCACATTGCCCAGCAGCAAGGGTTGTGCGGACTTGCATACACACAGGCAATATGAGACCTTTTACATACTTTTCAGTTTTTCTTTTTATGCTTATGGACATACTGAGCCTAAGCATTAGAATTTTGTGTTTTATTTCATCTTGCATGTCAAAGTGTGGCTGTCTGCTTTGGATCTATCTTGTTTATTAATTAAAATCTGAAGCCTTCGTGGGGATATATCATCATTCATTTCCAGGAACTGATTTCTTTATTCTTTCCTCAAGAGAGTTGGCAGTTTTGCATACTAACTGCACTTTATTTTTTTCTCATTTGTTTCCTGTTTTCCTCCAAGACAAAGGCGTTGGGGGAAACACTGGATTCCCTGGAAACTGTTATGACTCTGAAACAGATTACTTTTCAAGGAAGCTGAAGCTATCTAGCATTTTACATGGAATCCTGGTGTCAATCCTTTTACCTCAAACCCCAGTGGACTGAAACTTATTTGTAACAGTGTTTACATTCAATTAACTAATCCTCTATTGCCAAAAAAACCCCACCATGTTTTATAAGATAAACTCAGTTGTGAAGTCTGGCAATTGGATGGTTTGCTTTTAAGCCAGGACTCTGTTCTTCTGTAGCAGTAGAAATGAAAATCATTTACGTAGAAATTTTGTTTTGCATTTCTCTCAGGTGTGGACACCTCAAGATCGCCAGTGTATCTTGAGTACCTTAGCACAGTTACTTCTGGATAAGGACTGTACTATGCTGGTTGGCCGCCAGCTGCGCCCTCTGCTTTTGGATTTGCTGGAAAGGAATGCTGAAGCCATTAAAGCTGGGGGCCAAGTCAACCATGACTTACACGAAAGGCTCTGTGTGTCAATGAGCAGACTCATTGGTAACCATCCTGACGTCCTCCCGTGAGTAACAGTTTTATTCTTCACATTTCTCCTTGAGGTGGTAGAACCTACTCCCTCCTGAGAAGTAAGGAGGAGTCTGAGCTGAGGTGAAAGAGAAAAGGGGAGAGAGGAGTGGTATTATTTTATAAAAATAATCACAGCAGAATCCATTTATCCAGCTCAGTTTAGTGACCATTTACTAGGTTTTAAGTCTTGACCATCAAGACAGGTCTGGAAAATATAACCAAGATATCTCCCTGCCCTCAAGGATTCTGTCACCTGGCAAGACATGCATATAAGGCAGATCTAAATGAGTTTTAGCTGAGGCTCTTACAGCATCCATTTCAGATGGGTGAGATTCTTGCTTGCTGGAACAGCTGAAGTGAGTGGGTTACAAGAGCTCTAGTGTCCCTTCCAACTTTCTGTAAATCTGTCTACATCCAAAGCGTGATAAGAAGTTGTATTAGAACTGGATTCTAATGCATTTCTCTTTTGACCTGCTCTCTTTCCAACTTGGGCTGCTTCACCCCTCCTTAGGCAACCTCATGGTCCCCCACTCCCACGAGGTCACCCCAATAATGCTGAACTTAGTGCGGACGCCCAGTCGGCATAGCGCCGTGCAGCTTGGAACTCCTGGCCCAAGCCATCCTCCTGCCTTAGCCTCCTGAGTAGCTGGGGCTATAGGCATGTGCCATTGCACCAGGCTTTCTCAAAATGATAGGTTTGTGTGGAATAGTCAAAAGAGGTGGCTAAATGAGTGTCAGGGGTTTTTCAATTGAGAAGATAAAGGACTTTAACTCTAAACATGAATAATGTTCTGTGTACTTAAAGGAGCATCTTTTTTAAAAAAATTAATTAATTAATTGATTTTGGCTGTGTTGGGTCTTCATCGCTGCGTGCAGGCTTTGTCTAGTTGCAGCGAGCCAGGGCTGCTCTTCGTTGTGGTACGCGGGCTTCTCATCCTGGTGGCTTCTCTTGTTTTGGAGCACAGGCTCTATGCACGCGGGCTTCAGTAGTTGTGGCATGTGGGCTCTAGAGCGCAGGCTCAGTAGTTGTGGTGCACGGGCTTAGTTGCTCTGTGGCATGTGGGATCTTCTTGGGCCAGGGCTCGAACCCGTGTCCCCTGCATTGGCAAGCGGATTCTTAACCACTGCGCCACCAGGGAAGCCCTACAGTAGGTTCTTATCAGTTATCTTTTATATACAGTAGTGTGTATATGTCAATCCCAGTCACCCAGTTTATCTCCCCCTCTTCCCCCTTGGTAATCATAAGTTTGTTTTCTACATCTGTGACTCAATTTCTGTTTTGTTTTATTTTGTTTTGTTTGCGGTACGCAGGCCTCTCACTGTTGTGGCCTGTGCCGTTGCGGAGCACAGGCTCCGGACGTGCAGGCTCAGCGGCCATGGCTCACGGGCCCAGCTGCTCCGCGGCATGTGGGATCTTCCCGGACCGGGGCACGAACCCGTGTGCCCTGCATCGGCAGGCGGATTCTCAACCACTGCGCCACCAGGGGCGAATAGGTTCATTTGTACCATTTTTTTAGATTCCACATTTAAGCGATATCATGTGATATTTTGTCTTTCTCTGTCTGACTTACTTCACTCAGTAGGGCATCTCTTATTATTAGTCTTTGTCAGCACAATAAGTACACTTTGGCTTTCCTGGAAGTATAATCTCTAGTCTGGTCCTTGGATGAGGTAATAAGAAATGAAGACTTGGGGAAACCATAATTTGTGTGAGCTTTTCTAAAAGAGTAGCAAAAAAAAAAAAATGGACCCAGTTTGATGGGACTAAAACATATACAGTGAAGTTAAAGATCACCATCGTACGAGGTATCAGGAGCTTATCCTCTGGGTTGATTGAGGATCTGGATTGTGGCCTCACTGGGAGCTTTAATCACTTAGGTGTGCTTGACTGTGGTACGGTTTCACAGGGTGTGCTGACTGTCCTATGCTTACCCTGTAGGACTGACGCGTGAGTGACTTCAACCCCACTTCTCTTAAGCCTTAGTGGTAAGAGTGCTCTAGGGCTGTGCTTGAGAATCATTAAAATGATGGATTGGCTACATCTGCTTTCCCATCAGCTTCAGATTTTATGTTCATATTCAGTGAATGTGAGGCACACTCCTACTTTTTCTTTTCTTTTTGCCAAGGCAGTATATTTTACTTATGTTCCCACCTTGTTCCAGAAATGATATAATGCAACTACAAAGGTGCCCCGATGGAGTAACTTTAAACCAAGGAAGAAAAAAAAAAACACCATGTGTAAGTGCGTGTAAATGATGAGTCAATGCATGATATGAAATGAACTATATAGGTAGTGATGTGGAATGGGATTTCGATTTTTAGTTTTAAGAAATGTAGCTGATTAGTTTGGCTCATGCTCTGAATTTCCTGTTTGGGAATTTACCTAATGTATTAGGAATATACCTAATATACTTAGATATGATGCAGTCATTTATTCAGTAGGTAAATATGAGTCCTCCCTTTAAGCTCTGGGCCACATCATGGGGGTGAGAAAGTCAAACGTAATGAGTTTCTGTATTTGCAAACAATAGGATACAATGCATTAATAGTGGTGTGAGCCAAATACTTAAGGGAAGCAAGTAAATCATTAAACTAAGAAAAAATGAGTGTGTTATCCTCTTGGAAATTAGAGAAGGTTTCGTACTGTGCAGATTGTGGAGGAAGAGTGAGGAGTGGAAGAATGAACAGATGAGAGATGAGATGGGGATGAAAATCTAGAAAAGAGAGACTGGAGAGGAGGAACCCAGTCAGGCTCCCTCGGATCCTAATGACATTCATTTTCGGGTCCACACCTCTTTCTGAGGCCAGGGTGCGTACCTAGTTGGAGTTTCCGTCAGGTATCTCAGTAGTAACAAGGTATTTCTTTTTATTCCCTTGTTCATTACTGGTCCCCCTTTCCCTAAGCTTTTTTGAGATATAATTGACCTATAACACTGTGTAAGTTTAAGGTGTACAGTGTGGCGATTTGATACATGTATTGTGAAATGTTTACTATAGTAACATTAGTCAACACATCCTTCACCTCACATAATTAGCATTTTGTCGTTATTTGTTCATTACTGTTTTTACATCTGCAGTCCTTGAATGCATTTTTTACTCTGACACATTCTTTAGCAGGACTCTGTGAGAACACTCCTGGTCTGTTGATGCTTTCTCTATTCTGATATACTAGTTTAGGTTTCAAAGTTCTATTTTTGAAAAATCATCTAGTTCTGTTCCTAACTTTCCATTCTTGTGTTCCCGATTTCTTCAGCTGTAGCTTTGTAGATGGTTTCAGATGGTTAATACTACATTATGTGTTGATTTTTTTTTTTCCCCTTAGTGTTCTCTCAGGAGTGTAACCTTACTTTTAAGTTCTGATTGTACTTTACTCTTATATTTTGCATCTTTTAGTTCTTTGCTCTTTTAGTTTGCTCCCCCTTTCTTGTTTCTCCCCTCTCCCTGGTCCTTGCGAGTCCCTTTAACACACTGTCCTTTCAACCATGGCACGCAAATCTTGTGGAAACTGCCTTTCATTAATGATGAGGACTACAACAACCACTCTCGCATTTTATTGGCATTGTCTCCAACCCTCAGAGGTTAGGTGTTATTCCCATTTTCCATATGAGGAGACTGAGGCTCAGAGATGCTAAGTAACTTGCCCAAAGTCCCTTTGCTAGAAAGTGGCAGAGCTGGAATTCAGTCCTAGGTTAGCTGCGTCCAAAGCCCATGCTCTTTTTTTCTACTTTGTGGTGCTACCCACTCATCCTTTTTGAGCCATTCATATATTTGTTGACTGATTTACACAGAACTTGATCTGAACAGCATGTTATAGCTAATGATTATATTTATACTCCCAGGAGGGAAATAATACAGCAGTCCTCCTTTATCTGTGGTTTGTTTCCTGTGGTTGCAGTTACCTGAAGTCAGTCATACCCAAGAAAATTAAATGGAAAATTCCAGAAATAAACAGTTCATAAGTTTTAAGTTGCGTGCTGTTCTGAGTAGTATAATGAAATCTTGTGCTGTCTTGCCCGGGATGAGTCATCTCTTTCTCTAGCATATCCATGCTGTATTTGCTACCTACCCACTAGTCACTTAGTAACCATCTGTGTTGTGCTATTAAAGTGCTTGTGTTCAGGTAACCTTTATTTTACTTAATAATGGCCCCAAAGCACAGGAGTAGTGTTGCTGACAATTTGGATATTCTGTGCCTGATTTAGAAATTAAACTATATCATAAGCATGTATGTATAGGAGAAAAGTGTGTATAGAGTTCAGTACTATCCGTGGTGACAGGCATCCACTCCGGGTCTTGGAACCCATCCCCCTTGGATAAGGGGGGACTGTGGTAATCACCTAAGTTCCTTTGGGTTGTACTGGGTTAATTTATTGGCTTCAGTTTCGCATTGCTGTCAGTTTGTCCTGGACATGTGGATCCACATCAGTGCTATGCCTTTGATTGGGAAGAGCAACAATAGGTGGGCCTAGTAATGGTCTTTTGTGAACAATAGCAGGTGGAATGCTATAGTAGAGCCTGCTTCATGTGTAAGGTGCTGTATATGTATGTACAATCATACTGAAAGCAGGCTGGCATAGAGTGGAATGAGGGACCACAAGTAGTTATGCTTTTATAAACCTCTGCTTCAAAACTGTGTCCAGGAATGTTGTAAGGGTAACACACATTTAATTTTAGACTTTTTTCCCCCTTCAAGAATTATTTTACTTATTCTGGCAGCATTCTTCTGAGGAAAAGAACATCCTCTTTTAATTACAAAAGCAGTATGTTCAGGTAACACTCAATAATACAGAATCGTAAAAAGCAAAAGGTCCTCTCCACCCTGAAATCCTGCTCTCCAGAGATAACTGCTATGTTTGGTATGTTTCCTCCCAAATCCCTTTTCTTTTTCTTACTCTTGCACTCACCTGAGAGTGCGCACACTGATATATTTATGTGCACACATTTAAAAAATAGCTTTATTGAGATGTAGTTTATATACCACGTAAGTATACAATT